GAATCTGTGTGGTTTTACCACTACCAGTTTCACCGACTAAAATAAGTGTTTGATTGTCCTTGAGTGCTTTTAAAAACTCTTCTTTCTGATGCCAAACTGGTAAGGTCTTCCTCTTCTCCAAGATAAACAAGAACTCCAAGAAAAAAATTCTGAGAAATCCAGACAAAAGAGATAACTGGACGAGATGTATGATCAATTGAGAAGTGAGTATGAATCGATCAAATGGTCAGCCATTCAACCTGCAACTTTCTCAACAGTTAAAACCCCACTACCAACTAAATCGCTACAAACATCTTCACCTCAAAGAAGAATCCGACTAAAATCCTGTGAACGATTTAAAAACAGCTTAAGTGATTAAGATAAAATCAAACAGGTCAGTTGTTTAAATCCAAATCCGGTTGAGCCACTGTCCGATTTAGGAGGAAACAAGAGGCAATGAGCGATTAAGGAAAAATCGATAAAGAAAGTCAGTGATTTAGGCAGTGAGTGATTAAGTATTGAACCAGTCTGCGATGAAGGTTGGAGCGATTTAAGGTTGAAATCAATGGAAGTGATGAACGATTTGTGCAGCTGATGTCCGATGAAGGTAGAAACCGGAAGAACATGTGTTCGATTTACCTTGAATCCAGACAAGGTAGTGAGCGATTTCTTGAGCGATTTATGAGAAATCCGATCAAGCTGTTCTTCGATTTAACTGAAATCGGACGAAGTGATGAGCGATTTATACTTGGATTTTAGGCTAAAAATGAAATCCGGTCAATGAGGTAGACGATTTAGTGAAGAAATTAGCCAAGATCTTATGCGATTTAGCCTAAATCGGTCGTCGTGTGATGAAGAAGAACCAGATGAATGATGGGTTGTTGAAAAAAATAAGCTGGGCCAAAAAAAAATTGTTGGGCCTTTTGTAAAAGGCCTTGAGTAATTTAAGACCAAAAACACAAAAACAAAACAAAATTTTAAAAAAATGGTTCAAAAAATACTGGTTTTAAAAAAATTTAAGAACACCAAAAAAATTCAAAACACAAATTTAACCAGATCTAAAAAAACGAATGATCAAACCATGAAATCACGTGAATAACAAAGATTCACGATTCTAAAACGCACACTTTGATCACGGTTTTAACACCAAAACTCAAAATTTTGAAAAGATTTTGGATTAAACTCAAAAAAATTAAGAATATTAAGAACAAAAAATTTCCAGAAAAAAATCTCTTCAAAAATCTTCAAAACTCTGATTTCTTCTTCTGATTTCGTGCACAATCTAGCTATGATACCAATTGATAATCCACTTTGATCAATCTTCAAGTAATCTTCCACGATTCAATGGCAAATATGATTTCATTCAAGAACAATATGGAAGGAGATGAGAGAGAAAGTCAAACTTGGTCAATGTATTACAAACTCTCAAACTTTACGTATCTTTACAAAATGAGCTCTCCTTACCTTGTCTATACCACAAACAATCTGTAAAAATTTGTATTGATCTTTCTTTATCAATATATATATATTTTTAAAAGTGAAAGTTACTTGTTTGTATTCATCCTCCCTCGTTCTTTAAACTGATCACCTCTAAACTCTTGTAGATCCTGCTCAGACCAACAAAAGGCAAAGGTTTTGTCGCTGAAGAAAATGACTAGGATGATTTATCTGAAGAATCATCCTCGGATGAGGAAGATTTGCTGGTGGCTTCATTTGAACAGCAAAATTTGCCGTGTGTGTTTTGGGACACCAAAAAGGTGGTCCCCACCCACTATCCCTTTAATCCACTTTTTTTAATTTGATAAATTATAAATAAATAATACAAATATTTACTTTTTGGTTTTTATATTTATTATGTAAATTTATATGTATATATATATATAATAAATTATTAATAACACAAATATGATACCAGATAAACGTAAACGTAGTTTATTAATGGAAATTTTAAAAACTAAAAGACATAAATTAAAGGGTCCACTGGTTTCTGCTAGCCATATAGTGACTAAAGTTTACTGCTACGTTCTAAGATCCTTCGACTTGGTCTTGAACTCCTTCTCCAAATTCTTGATGTTATGCTGCTCGATATTGAGATCCTACGTATTTTAATCCTTGTCCAAACGTATGAACCTGGGGTTCTGTTCTCTCTCTCGCTATTCGAATTTTCTCATTTTTTATGAACTCATAACACAGAGGATCAATGATAGGATTTAGATCAGTGAACATAACCTTATATCTATTGCATTTTTCTGAGCTTCAATCTCATTCCTTCTCATCATAGCTTCATTGTTTTTGGCTATACATTTACTCGTTTATTTACTAGCCTTGACTAAAGTCTCTAGTTTATTATCAGATTGGAGTCTTGATTTTGCCTTTTTCACACCAATTGATCTTTGAGTTAAAGCACTACCTTCTGCGTCGTGAATAGTCAACGAGGGTAAACCGGCATCTGTCCCACACGATGAACCAGGACCGGAAGAAGGTGACTAATAAGGACTTTGTCGTTGATGTTGAGTCGATACAGTGACATTTGATAAACTCTCGGAGTCTTTCAGGATGTCCCAGACATGATCAAACTTAAAACCCTTCTTATAGGATGTGTCTTGTTTTAACATCTCTTTCGCTTCGTTCATCTATGAAAAATACACGTTATATTTAAATTAATAAAACAATGATCAACTAAAACAATAAATACTTACGATATCTTGTTTAGAAGCACCACTTGGATTCCTCATTTGAACTTGATTGATACACCCTCGCAATTTYTTGCAAGCTTTTAGAATGCAAGACATTCTCGTTTCCAATGATCTTCTTGGTCGAGGATTGGTTGCGAACTGTTCGGTTTGGTGATATTGAGTTTATACTCTTGACCAAAACTTATCTTTTGTTTGGTTTCTACCTATTATTGGATTTTGAGTAGTATCAAGATAACAATGACATAGATATATGTCTTCGTTATCTTTGTAGGATGAACTTCAAATTGTTGAAGACATTTTTATGAAAAGTCTGTTAATATTCTTCTGAAAATGTGTGTGATTTAACTTATCGAATCACCCCCTATTTATATACAAAATTTTCAATTCACTCCGAATGAAGATAGATTAGACAACACACTGGTAATATTCTTCTGAAAAGTCTTGTAATATTCTTCTGTAAAACATGATAAGAATTGACAACACCACTGATTCTTACTATAAAACTTGAATCACGACTATAAACAAAATATCTCAACTTTCTTTGCAATCTTCTTTCTTGAGAAATACCACTCAAATGGCTGATAATTCGTATGCAGATGATGAGGCTTTTGATAATGCTAATGTCGAACTAATGAGTGAGGCAGTCAATCTAGCGTTTGAAGTGAATAATTATATACGTAATTATGTTCAAAACAACCATGTATCTTATCGAGGTTCTATTCCTGGCCATATAGTTATCAATCGTAATTGGGAAAATGCCGATCGCAATCTCTTCAATGATTATTTTTCTGAAAATCCTCGATTTTCGGAGTCGATGTTTCGTCGACGATTCCAAATGAGTCGTACTTTATTCCTTCGTATTTTGGATGCTATCCAAAGTCATGACAACTACTTTCTCCAATGAAGGGATGGATGCGACAAACTTGGGTTGTCCGGTTATCAAAAAGTTACTGTTGCATTTCGAATGTTGGCATATGACGTTTCTGCAGATTCTACAAATGAGTACATTAAAATAGGCGAATCCACGGTTTTAGAAGCTTTGAAGCGATTTTATCGTGCCATCCTGGAGGTGTTTGTAGACCGCTATCTTCGAACACCCAATGCTAATGATGTGGCACGGCTACTCTAAATTGGAGAACAACAAGGTTTTCCAGGAATGTTAGGTAGTCTAGATTGTATGAATTGGAAATGGAAGAACTGTCCAACGGGTTGGGAAGACAATATTCCGGTCGTAGTAGATCTCCAAGTATTATTCTGGAAGTTGTAGCTGACTATGATCTTTGGATATGACATGCATTTCTTGGTTTATCGGGGTCCAACAATGACATTAATGTGTTGGAGTCCTCCCATTTTTTTGCAAATCTTGCAGCAGGTAATGATCCTCCTGCTAATTATGTAATCAAAGGAAAATCATATAATATGGGTTATTATTTAGCTGATGACATATATCTAAAATGGGTCACTCTTGTTCAATCTATTCACGATCCACGTGGCCCTAAAAAACAATATTTTGCAAAGAAACAAGAAGCATGTAGAAAAAACGTAGAACGTGCATTTGACATGTTGCAATCAAGGTTTGCAATAGTAGTAGGACCTGCACGGTTATGGAGGAAGGAAATATTGCATGATATAATGACCTTGTGCATCAGTATGCATAATATGATCATAGAAGATGAACGTGGTATTAATGCATCAATTGAAGAACGAAGTGAAGTGCAAGACGTGGGAGTTGAGATGATGAACGATAACAATGGTGGACTTGAACAGTTTCTTGCTCGACATAAAAATATCAAAGAAAAAAAATACTCATTTGAACTTCGTAATGCATTAATTGATCATTTGTGGGACGAGTATACTAACTCGGAGAATTATTATTATTATTTATGTATTTTTTTTAATTTGTGTTATTTGAACTAAGAGCATCTCCAACCATATCACCAAAAGAAACACCAAAAACACCAAGTATGGTGGGCCCATAAACACTAAAAAAAAAAAAAACTCAACTCCAATTACACTCTAAAAAAAACCAAATTTGTGAACCACATATTAAAATAACATATTTTATTTACTATTTGTAATATCAATAATTATAATTTGTAATAGATATTATAATAATAATAAATAATTAGTAATTAATTTATTTAATGAAGAACTGTTAAAATAAAAACGATAAATTTTTAATTAATAAATTTTATATTAAAAAAGATTACATTAGTTCAAATAGCATAAATTAAAAAAACATATAAATAATACTAATTCTCCGAGTTATTATACTTGTCCCATAAATGATCAATTAATGCATTACGAAGTTCAAAGTGAGCATTTTTATCTTTGATCTTTTTTATGTCGAGCAAGAAACTGTTCAAGTCCACCATTGTTATCGTTCATCATCTCAACTCTCACGTCTTGCACTTCACTTCGTTCTTCAATTGGTGCATTAATATCACGTTCATCTTCTATGATCATATTATGCATAATGAYGCACGAAGTCATTATATCATGCAATATTTCTTTCCTCCATAACCGTGCAGGTTCTGCTACTATTTGCAAATCTTGATTGCAATACGCCAAATGCACGTTATACGTCTTTTCTACATGCTTCTTGTTTCCTACATGCTTCTTGTTTCTTTGCAAAATATTGTTTTTAGGGCCACGTGGATCATGAATAGATTGAACAAGAGTGATCCATTTTGGATATATGCCATCAGCTAAATAATAACCCATAGTATATGATTTTCCTTTGATGACATAATTAGCAGGAGGAGCATTACCTGCTGCAAGATTTGCAAAAAGATTTGCTTCAAGGATTTTCAGAAAAATAATCATTGAAGAGATAGCGATCGGCATTTTCCCGATCACGATTGATAACTATCTGGCCAGTAATAGAACCTCGATAAGATACATGGTTGTTTTGAACATAATTACGGATATAATTATCCACTTTAGACGCTAGATTGACTGCCTCACTCATTAGTTCGACATTAGCTTTATCAAAAGCCTCAAAGTCTGAATACGAATTATCAGTCATTTGAGTGGTATTTCTCAACAAAGAAGATCGCAAAGATAGTTGAGATATTTTTTTAGTTGTGATTCAAATTTTATAGTGAGAATCAGTGGTTTTGTCAATTCTTATCATGCTTTTCAGAAGAATCTTACCAGATTTTTCAGAAGAATCTTACCAGACTTTTCAGAAAAATCTTACCAGACTTTTCAGAAGAATATTACCAATGTCTTGTCTAATCTATCTTCATTTGGAGTGAACTGAACATTTTGTGTATAAATAGGGGGTGATTCGGTAAGCTAAATCACACACATTTTCATTGAGAAATTACCAGCCTTTTCATAAAAATGTTTTTAACAATCCGAAGTTCATCCTACAAAGATAACGAAGACATACATCTATGTCATTGTTATCTTGATATAACTCAAAATCCAATAATAGGTAGAAACCAAACAAAAGATAAGTTTTGGTCAAGAGTAGAAACTCAATATCACCAAACTGAACTGTTCGCAACCAATCCTCGACCAAGAAGATCATTGGAAACGAGAATGTCGTGCATTCTAAAAGCTTGCAAAAAGTTGTGAGGGTGTATCAATCAAATTCAAATGAGGAATCCAAGTGGTGCTTCTGAACAAGATATCATAAGTATTTATTGTTTTAGTTGATCATTGTTTTATTAATTTAAATATAACGTGTATTTTTCATAGATGAACAAAGCAAAAGAGATGTTAAAACTAGACGTATCCTATAAAGGGTTTTAAGTTTGATCATCTCTGGGACATCCTGAAAGACTCAAAGAGTTTATCAAATGTCACTGCATCGACTCAATAACGACAAAGTCCTTATCAATCACCTTCTTCCGGTCCTGGTTCATCGTCTGAGACAGATGCCGGTTTACCCTTGTTGACTATTCACGACGCAGAAAGTAGTGCTTTAACTCAAAGACCAATTGGTGTTAGAAAAGCAAAATCAAGGCTCCAATCTGATAATAAGCTAGACACTTCAGTCAAAGCTAGTAAAAAATGAGCAAATGTATAGCCAAAAACAATGAAGTTATGATGAGAATGAATGAGATTCAAGCTCAGAAAAATGCGATAAAGTTAAGGTTGGCGGGTGACAAAATTATGTTCACTGATCTAAATTCTATAACTGATCCCGTGTGTTATGAGTTAATAAAAAATGAGAAAATTCGAATAGCGAGAGAGAGAACAGAACCCCAGGTTCATACGTTTGGACAAGGATCAGAATACGTAGAATCTCAATATCGAGCATCTCAACATCAAGAATTTGGAGGAGTTCAAGACCAAGCCGAAGGATCTTAGAACGTAGCAGGAAACTTTAGTCACTATATGGCTAGCGGAAACCAGTGGACCCTTTAATTTATGTATTTTAGTTTTTAAAATTTTCATTAATAAACTACGTTTATGTTTATCCGGTATCATATTTGTGTTATATATACATATAAATTTACATAATAAATATAAAAACCAAAAAGTAAATATTTGTATTATTTATTTATAATTTATCAAAAAATAATTGGATTAAAAGGATAGTGGTGGGGACCACCTTTTTGGTGTCCATAACCCGCATGGTAAATTTGTCGTCCAAATTAACCCTCCGGCAAAGGGATAGTTATTTTGCCGTTCAATTGGTTCAAAGAAAACGGCAAATATAGGGTTTTGCCGTTCGATTGGAGATGTTCTAATGTAATCTTTTTTAATATAAAATTTATTCATTAAAAGTTTATCATTTTTATTTTAACAGTTCTTCATTAAATAAATTAATTACTAATTATTTATTATTATAATATCTATTATAAATTATAATTATTATTATTAAAAATAGTAAATAAAATATGTTATTTTAATGTGGAGTCCAGAAATTTGATATTTTTTTTAGAATATCATTGAAGTTGAGTTTTTTTTTTTAATGTTTATTAACCGATTATATTTAATGTTTTTGGTGTTTTTTTTTTATCTGGTTGAAGATGCTTTAACAAAGTGATTTTTTTTTTCAAACTAAGATTTATTGATTTTAACAATCTAGAGACGTTAAGGCAAACAAACAAAACAAACATATCTCGAAACAAACCCCATAGTAATCGGCTAAAACGGATATCAAAACACCCCGAAAACAAGCAGCGGAAATTTGCTGGTCGACAGGGTGAACGTGATGATGATGATGGACGTCCTTGAAGCTCGTACTGTTATGGGTATGTGTATGGCTGCCTATAACCCGACTACTCTTCGCTCAGCTCCTTCTTTCTGGTGCACGAACCATAGAACCAAACCGAGTGCTGCCTTTATCGTTTCTTCTTCTTTACGGGCAGAAGGTCGAACAGCTGGTGGGTTGTTGTTGCAAAAGCATGACCGAAACTGCGAAGTAAAGAGAGATGACGATAACGATGATAGCATCATGAAAAAGACGAAGAAGAAAAGGATTTTCTTTTTGGATGTGAACCCAATCTGTTATGATGGCAGCACTCCAAGTCTACACTCTTTTGCTCACTGGATTTCCCTTTTCTTCTCCCAAGTCAGCCTTACAGACCCTGTCATTGCCGTAAGTCCCTGGGTTTATTCTACCATAACGTTTCTATGCGAAATTTTAGGCTTAACATGCTAACTGTTTTTCTCAATGAGAGTTTCGTCGTTGTAAGTTAACTTCCTACTCCCACCATCGCAGGGAAAAAGAGCTAGGTTATTTTTCAAGTATAATCTATTTTGGATCTTTAAGGTATTTGAGAGGGTTTCTCTAACTACATTTACAAGTTGTACAAAGTTGAATTATGCTGGTTGTGGATTATTAACAAAGATTATATCAATTTTGTAGCTTAAAAGTGCTAGCTTTGAAGTAAAATACAATGTAGATACAGAAAAGAGACTAATTGGAGGAAGATGACAACTTTTGGCTTGTATGAACAAACAGAAGACTAACACTCATGCCATCCCTTTCCCATAATTCAGCTTTTGAGTTATGCTATCCCTTCGTGTAATTCATCCATTACATACCATCCCCCTTTCAATGATTGGTATCTGTAATAACCGTGTTTGACTTCTTTTTATAGAGAAAATATTAGGGGGTTTGATTCAACGTCTTACCCTGAAACCTCATCCCTAACATTGCCCGCCATTGGAAGACCAATCTTGTCCTAAAGATGATTGCCCATGTATGCCAAGTTCATCTATCCAGGTTGCTGCTTCTGTTAACACTGCTTCTATTGAACTAGAACTTGTGGCACTTATTGTGTGGCTTCCACTGTGCCTCTAAACCAACCATGTTCATGATGGAAGCTAGTACTGTCTGTATCTTCCAAGAGAGAAGGTAGTGGCAGCTTCTACTGGGTAATCACCAACCACTTGCACGTACTGTGACACATAGATGGATGTGAATGGAGGGAGGAAGTTGCAACCCATATACTATCAACTTGATTTCTTTTAGGACAAAGAATGTCCCATATACTTGGCAGCCAAGTGACGAAGATGTATGATGGAAGGAAAACTGTGAAGAGGTTCTTCTATTAAATGTGATAACAGAGAATGGAAGGAAAAATAGCCAAGAGGTCATCTATTGAACATAATAAAGAGAGATGGAAGAAAAAACAGTGGAGTCTTCTATATAATGTCATAAAGAGAACAATGTAGAGATAGACAAAGAGACTAATCCAGAGGATGTCTAGACTTTTGAGCGGAAACAAGAAAGGTAAAATTCCAATCAATGCACTTTTCCTTTCCAAGACCATGTTTGTAAGGCATTCCATAGCCATCAGTTATGCTATCTCTCTCCTATGATTCAGCTTTTGGTTATGCTGTCCCACGCCTATAATTTGGCCATTGCCTATCATTTATCATTCATAACAGTTATTTTTTTAGTACTTCTTCCTGATACAGACACTAATATCAGGAGGATTTGATTAATCATCTTCAATTTCTTCTCTACAACTTTGTTCCCAGTAGTCACCTGCAAAATATGCCTCCTTCTAAATGTATCTATCCCTGCATATCCACTAATGCTTCTTTTTCTATTCCACTTCCACCATGAGATTGAGAGTTCCAATTACAGAAAGTGAAGAGACTGCAGAAGTGATAAACCTTAAGTGCATTTTGTCATTTTACGTTCTACATGACTTTTGTTTGGTTTTTTCTTTTATTTATTGTTTTTTGATAAAGTGAAGTCCGGTTGTGGACCAGAGAGAGTATTTGGTATGTTGCTTGGGACATGTAAGTACACCATGGTAGTATTGTACCTAAACCTCTCCACATTGCTTATCAATGAACATGTGAAGTTTTTGTTAGGGCCTACTGACATGGCAGTGCTTGGCGACATTACCATGCTAGCTAATGCCTTCCTATGAGAATACACGCCTACAAAGAGAAGTTTTTTTGTTCATGTTTCATGCACTTTAGCTGGACTGTGTAATGCTTTGGACTTGACCCGTTATGGTTTAGCATTTTTTGGAAATGGATTTTGGTCTAGCGAAGTATCAGGGGGACTACTGACATTGCTTGCACAAGGATAACCGATTCTAATATCATCTACTTGCCGGTTGGTTCACCGATGTACTAGTCATTTGATACTCAAACTCCTCTTACACAGTGTTGCATTTCAGTACTTAGGGTTAGAATAACTCCCAGATACATCTAGAATTAGAGAAAACTCGAGCTACTAAGGCTTGCAGAGTCCACAGTTTTGTGGCCACACTACATATCTGCACCTGCCAACCTCAGTGTTTGCAATAACCAAGGAATCTATCTTCTCCTGTGCTTGCTGCTTGATTTGATGTGTGACCTTTATAGATTTGGATTTCGGTTGCTCTAAGAGGATGATGTATACTAGATTCCCCATGAGCTGCAAGATGGCACCATGAAATTGGCATTCAAGTATTAATAAGTTTTACTTGTCCCTGAAAAGCGACTGCATCACATTCTTAGAGCTCCTTTACGCAGTTTAATCATCTTTATGCTGCAATTACAATATGACTCTTTAGTGTTGGTGTCTGATATTATTTCATGGTTAGCATCAAGTGTTTTCTGCTTTTTGAAATTGAGTTTCTTGAATTTCACAGACTATCACATAATAACTGGAATATGTAAACATAATCTTTCAAGACCTGTCTAAAGATACTAGCAGGTCATTTGCATCTCATTTTCTTCAGTCATAGTCATATTGTAAAATATTGCCGATTTCACTTGCTATAGTACTATGCTATTGGAGTGTGCAACTCAGGATGAGATTCTTTAACACCAATATGTTGAAGCCAGTTAAAGTTTGTGTCTGTTAGTAAGGTATTCCCAGAGAAGGAAAGATTTGTGCAATTCATTTCACAAGAAGCAATATACAAGTAAGATATCTCCGGCTACAAAAATAAATAATAATAAGTAAGATATCTCCGGTAAAGAGGGTCTTCTGTACTATAAATAAAATAATATTATCAAATACATCTATTTAGTTATCTTTCACCTTTTGAGCACAATTTGTTTTGCAGGTTGTTGATGGAGAAGGAGCTCATGAGTATAGAAGACAAATGTTGCCTTCATATAAAGCCCACAGAAGAAAATTCTCACCATGGGTATCTAGTTCTCGGATATCAGCGAAGGTTCCAGTAAGGAGATCACATCAACTCATTTCAGATACTCTTACGAAATGTAATGTGCCGGTCAGTAAACCTTTGTAATACCAACTAAAGCATTACATCAACTTTTTGTATATATTTGAAGAAATATTACTTGGATTCATATCTTTTCAAAGAAGTATTTTCACGTTATAATTCTAATCTATAAAGAAAATATGTGTGGAAGAAACTCGAGTGGGGTGCAACCCTGAATGTTGCATCAGAATTGTTCAGTTGTAATGGAGTTAAAATGATCTAAAGGCAGTACATAACTACCCTACTGGTTAGTGGATGTTTTCTAGGGAAATGAGTCTTCAATCTTTACCACATGAGTGAGGAAGGAAAGTTTGTGGAAGAACACATGATTTGCATGGATAGTTGTGCTGTTGAGTCCTTAACAAAGGAACCTAGTGTGCTAGTTGTTGCCCCAAGCACGAGAGTATCACATGCTATCAAAAAATTAGGTGGATTAGTGAAAATCTTGGGAAATTGATGGCACATGCTAAAAAGTTATGGCTTGTAAGGATAAATGTGACAAAAGTAGAGAAAATAAATTACAACAAAAGCCCAAGAAAAAATATATTGGTCAAACAAGTGGAAAGAATTTAAAAATGGAGGCGAAGTTTGAAAGAGTAAGACTGAGGACCTAAATCGTATTAAATGGATGGGAGGATGAAAATCAAATACTATTATAGGAAGAGGTCCCGGTTAGAGGCCGATGGGTTTACCTTGATGAGTTATCAATTGTGATCATGAGGAGAATAAAAGTAGAATTAGTGACTCTATTATTGCAGTTAAATAAGGCTTGTCCTAGAATTAGACTACTGAAAATGAAGAAAGCTTCAAGAATGATAAAAAAGACATTTTGGGGGGCAACAATATTCACATTAACGTTTGGAGATGTGTTATCAATATAACCATAGTCTGGCTCACCACAATTTGATGGTAGTTCTTAGGGCATCTCCAATGGGTAACCCCAAATCTTACACCAAATCCATAAAAATTAGTGTAAAATTTGGTGCGAACAATAAATCTACTCCAATAGGTAACACCAAATCTTAAGTTTCTAGGTATATTCTTTTTATCTTTTCTCTTGGGTGTTAAAGTTTGGCATAAATGAATAGAGTTACACCAAATTTGGCGTCCCCATAGGAGTGATTTGGTGTTAAATTTGGTATTTGGTCTCTCCAATGGAGATGGTCTTATGAAATATACGAACGGGGGAAGAGTACCGTGGTCTTAATCTACAATTTCCACATATAGTTCTTTTAGTAGAAACAAATCAAGCTTTCAAGTTATATATTGAAAGTGCCAACATATACACATACATACGTACCTACATACGCACACACACAAATATATATTTACTTTATTTATTGGAATGATTATGTTGGATATATCAGGAGAATCATCATGCATCACTTCTTCTTTTGTTTTGTAGATGATGTCATGTTAGTTGATGGGATTTTATGACACATTAATCTTAAAGCTAAAGTTGTGGAGAATACTCATGAAGTAATGGTAATAGATTTATGGTTAGGGTTGCAACTGTGATTAATGATGTATTGTATCTAAAGGGAAAACCCAACATACATAGTACATAATGTGTCTTGGGCCTGGGGATAGGAGATAAATATAAAAGTAACTTAAAACCGTACTTTAATAGAATACTAACGAAGCTAACAGTGTATCTTACACTCCTCGGGTTGGAGCATAGATGTCAACATGTCTCAACTCGCTGCTGATAGTCTATCATAGTCTTCCTTGCAGGCTTCATTAAGTATCTGCAATTGATGCTCGTCGGAATATGCATGTGAAATCAAGAACTAGTAAATGTTCATACAACTTGATTTAGCATAAGATGACAATCTACTTTGATGTATTTGGTCCTCATGGAAAAGATGATTCTTTGCTATATTTGTCCATGGTAATCCCTAACTTATGAGCAAATGGCTCATCTATGTAATTAATCAAGTTTCTCAATTAGACATGATGCTTCTCAACCAGTCGCATGATTGCTGTTATCATTGCCACCTCAGTTAGTGGAGTTGTTACGTACACAATAAGGACTGAGGTATACGACATGCTTTTATCCATCCTCTCTTTATTAATATGTATGTTGAACCTTAGCAGGGTGAACTAAATGTACCTTTATGTTTAATGGTATAACTTGTAAGGATTTATATCCTTCAGAGAAGTAAAACCTTTTCGATTAAAAAGGAAGTCATGTTTAATTAGGAAGGATGTGCAGGTTGTGAAAATTCCCGCTCATGAAGCAGATGATGTTGTTGCTACACTCGTTGAACAAGTTCTAGAAAAGGGATATCGAGTTGTGATTGCTTCTCCTGACAAAGATTTCAAGCAACTGATATGTCAAGATGTGCAGCTAGTCATGCCTCTTCCAGAATTAAGAAGATGGTCCTTTTATACCTTGGAGCATTACATAGCTCAATACAAGTGTCATCCACTGTCTGATTTAAGTCTCAGTAAGCCTACAAGTCTCAAATATTTCTGCCACATTTAACATCATGAAATTACAGCATTTTTATATAATTTTAGTGAAAATGTTATTTCCAGCTTATAATTTTCATCAACCACTTATTGTTTTAGGTCAGCTGATTATTTGTTCTGCTGCAGTCTCTTAGTTTGAAATCAGAGTTGGGCCATTTATCCTCAATATATGTGGGAACCTCTTTTCTCTCTTCAAGGCTCTTTTGGAGAATAATCTAATAGGATTTCACATATTCATACACATCTATAATCTATATCCTATGTAGGAAGGACTGCACGGATACCACATATTCATACACATCTATAATCTATATCCTATGTAGGCAACACTGCATGGATACATCCATACTCTCTTCGTACAGGAGTCCCCTTTAAACTCTTCTTGTGGATTTTATATATCTACATTGTATGTATATCTTCCCATTAAAAATAAAGCAAATGAATATATATGGATGCAATATCTAGACGTGTAATAAGAACCACCTGCCTTGCTCAGTTGAGGAAGTAAAGATACTTGTTTCATCATTCCAACTTTTTAAATTTATCATATATGACTCTCTTTGACATACTTTTCACAATCCTCGGGTCTTACTCTCTCCAGACCCCACCTGTGAGTGGGATATACCGTGCTCGTTTGGTTTAGTTTGGTTGGTTCTTCTCTGAAAAAAAAGATACTATGTTGAAAATGCTTTAATGTGATGTTCAAATTTTCAAATATTTTGTAGTTCATGTCCACCAAGGAGAATATTTGGTGATGTTGAGCTGGTGTCTTTTTGAGGCACTATTGAACTTCTTTTACGTTTGCAATTCTAAAAGCTGGTGGTGTATGTATGTAGGATGCATAGTGGGTGATGAAGCCGATGGTGTTCCTGGAATTCAGCATCTGGTACCTGGTTTTGGCATGAAGACTGCTCTGAAACTTTTAAAGAAGCATGGTTCGTTAGAGAATCTACTTAATGCTGCAGCTGTAAGAACTGTGGGCAAACCTTATGTCCAAGATGCTCTTACAAAGCATGCTAGCTACTTCCGAAGGAATTATGAGGTTCTTTCCTTGAGGAGGTAACATTTTCATGTGTTAACACCCCCCCCAACACACACACACATACACACACATATAGGGGGGCCTTTTTTTTGAGAACCAATGAAATTGTGATATAACCTTGAGAAATAGTGCATCGTGTGCTATTTTATATATAAAAAAAATTCATCAAAGACTAGGATTTAGAATATCAATTAACATATGTTTGTTTCACAATATGTTTGTTTCACAATGTGAACCTTTTTAGCGTGTTTTTGAAACAAAAGTTACATGTAAAAAAGTTTCACATTGTGAACCTCATACATATGAAGCAAATACATTGTGAAACAAATATATGTTCATCAATACATTAAATGCTAGCCTTAGATAAGAAATAATCATGTGAAACTCTATCTTAAGATAAAAGTTCTCCCAGTTATCACAATATATGGAGTTCCCAAATGAGTAAGTCCCTATATATATATATAGTATATTTATAGTTTATAGGGAGGTTCAGGGGAAACCCTTCAAAAAATATGAAAATTTGAGGAAGACCTTGGTAACCATTCATCTGGACGGTCTGCACATATATACAAGTAATTGATGTTGTTTCTTGGTTTTTATGCACGTATGCATGCTCATGTGCGTACCAGACAAGTTACTTACAAATTACTTATATGCACATGTGCATATGGTCCAGCTGAATGTGTTCCTCAGTTTTTCATTTTCTTTGGGTGGTTTTCCCCTGAACTTGACTATATATAGTTGAAATATACAATATTTATATACAACAAATACTCATACACTCTCCTCATCTTTGGTGAGGTTTGAATCCTTGAACTCCTAAAAAGTTGGGCTTTCCCGGCAACCCAGGTACCGTTGTGCCAAGGGAAAACAAGAAGATATTTCTTCTAGAAAACTATCCTTTCCAAGCAGCAATTATGGATTTTTAATGCTTCCAATCTTGTATCATAGGGATGTTAACATTAGGCTACAAGAAAACTGGTTGCATGAGAGACGCATGGAGAACGATTTGGAAACTCTATCGAACTTTCTTGATTTGTTGCGAAGAACCAATAATTCCGAATGGTAAAAGAGAGCTTGTTTGAGCTTCCAACAGTGAGTTATATTTAGTAGAGGAAAAATAGAAAAAACTATTCCTTAATTGTTTTATTAAAAAGGTGAATGTATTGATTGAACCAATCTTCAACCTTATGGTTGAAGATAAAGAATCTTGTAAAATAATGACAATAACAGAGAAATGAGATTCTACTATCCATGGGAAACTTCCACATGAAAGATGAACTAAACCATAAAAGAAGAAAACATGTAGCAACCATAGTAAGACTCTCGGTAAGTGCTCACCGGTAAAATTCAACACTATCACTTACTTATTGGGTAAGATTTTAGTGAACAAAACCGGATCGTATGCAACAATTTACCTGGTAGGTGCTAACCATGGTAAGAGTTGACACCCTCACCAGGAAAAACGTTTGGTCCTTGCCTCACTTTTACTGGGTAAGATTCTTGGTCCTTATCATATTCATCTGGTAAGGTAATGTAACTTGATAAGCGCTTACCCGGGTAAGTGCTTGGTAAACGACCCCTAAACTCCAGAGCTGGGTATAGTGAATTGTGGCTTGGATTAAATTACTAGAAAAAGGGGTTTCGCGACAACTTTTGCAGTCACTTAAAGTCCATTTATTGTCACAAAAGGTTTATAGCGATGAAATGTCGTTGCTATAGTTTCTGGCTGAAACGTCTCGTTGCCAAAGGGGCGTTGACAAAGCTCTGTTTTCTTGTAACCAAGGGCGGACCTATATACAAAGCCTCGGGTGCATGGGCTACCGTTCAATCGACTCGTCCCAATAGAAAAAATATATGTGGTTTAAAGGTGCACCCGATTTCAGTGATGTATTCTTTCTTAAGTTAAGAAGAAATGGTTGTAATCTACTGATAATGTCATTATATATGGTATTATAGGTCATAAGTCTAAATCCCTTTGGCTGTTTGTGACTTATTTGGTTGCAACAATGTAAAAGAATAACCATCTGGTTGTTACAGAAAACCTTTCATATATCATTTTTAGTAAAGCCGTAGCTTTCTATATTATTGTTTGTCTTTGAGAAAATTTCTGACTCCATCCTGTTGTAGAACTAAAAATGCTTAACAAAATCAGTTGCAGAAAGTAGATAAAATTCCTCCCTTTGAATAAAGCATAAGAAAGTAGGTCATGTTCGACAATCATAAGCTTTCCTTTGAGCTTATTGAAAAAGTCATGTTTGGTAAGTCATAAATTAATTTTTTTGAAAACTACTAAAAATGGTTTCTCAATAAGCTTTCGGGCAATTATTTTACCTTTTTTTTTTCCATCTACATCCCTTATGCTACAATCGAGTGATTTTGCAAAATGTCATTTCAAGAAATCTACATCGTTACTTAGGCTTTGCTAAATATCACCAGTTTATCAGTTAAATTATTCCAAACATAGATGTAGTTCAAACTTCAAACTCCCTTAAACTCTATTAGAAGTATCTTTGCTAACAATTAATCATGGAATGCTTTTAGTTCACGATCGAAAGAGGCGTGAATTGTTTGCATCGATTGAGAGATGAGCGATTGAAGAGACATGAAGAATAAGAGGACTGTAAGAGAAAAACAAGAGGTGGGTTTATGTCTTATGGCTTCAAATAATAATAAGACCTTTTTAGTTCTTATCAATTGAAAAAAACAAATGCGCTTAAATATCTAACTTCTTATCTATCTTTCTATTATAAAGCATTTGTGTTGGTCCCGTGAGGGTCTACAAGAAGAGAAACAGTTTGTAGAAGGGGAGGAATGAATACAAACATAGTATTTTCAAATATAAAATATATATTGATAGAGAAGATCAATACAAATTTTACAAGATTGTTTGCGGAAAGATAAGGTAATAAAAACCTATCTAAACAATCTTTGGTTACACACAAAGTCTTAGCAAATACAAGAAAAGAAATTGCTGTAAAGAAGATCATTTACTTAAGCTAGAAAATGCTTGAAGTAAGAATTAGGGTTAGAGAGTGAGTTGTGCGCACTCTGTATGGAGAAGAAACACTTTTATTTATACCCAGTGCATTAAATGAACATTTAATGCAATATGGTAGGGTTAGAGTGTGTGTCAAGCCTTAAGAGGAAGACTTGTCCTTTGCTACAGTGAATAGTACAAAAAGCACTATTCATGAGCAGACATCCTTACCTAAAGCTGATGGACAAAGAGTCGACTAGTCGGCTCCGTACCGTACTAACTTTCATAAGGGTATGAGTTTTGTCYTTTGCGTGCATAAGGACAAGACAACAACAATCGTGCTAAGCAAGCTCCCTTTGATCGCTGAATGCTGGAATGACCTGAAGGTCTCATTATCATTTGCTGAAGCTTGAGCAGTCTTCACACATATATAGACAGGCTTGTAATCACTGAGTACCGCTTCAGATCATGTACTCGCTGGTCTCTAATCTTCAGTTTTAGTCTTCGACGTTTGCTGAAGGTTCTTTGGTGTGAGTGTTGTCTTCTTGAAGTATTGCTATCTCTGATAGATTTACAATGCAAGTTCTTCAGCGATCACTAAACATACTCAGTGAAGATCGCTGGAACTGAAAATACAGAAACATAAATACAACGTATAAGTAAAAGGGATTATCATCAAATCACTGAGAGAGAGGATCAACAATCTCCCCCTATTTGATGATAACAAGATAACATAAAGAAGGTTATCTTATTAAATAATAGTAAGAAAAAGTTACATACAAAGTGCATGTCCCTTTTTATTATTTTGGGATCTTTTTCAGTTTGGTCAGTCTCAGCTTGGGAATTTTTCTTAAGTTATATCTAAGAAAATTACAAGTACGGAAACTGAAACTGAAAGCTTATTCACTGATTTATAGATTGTCAGTGAATGCGGAAAGTAACACTGGAACTCATAGACTTGTGTCCCTATTACTTTTTTCAGGGATCTTTTTCAGTGAAGTACATGGAATACTCATTTTATTAATCATAGGAAATATTACAAGTATTACAGTACATGTCTAGAACTTACAGAATATAAGTACAATCACTGAAAGTAGACATAGTACACGAAGTTACAAGGAAAAGTGGATTGTTATTACAAAGAGAAACTATTCTAGAGATCTTAGATCTATGTACCCAGGTACATTTTCACCAAGTTTTCTTCGACGTAGGAATTCCCTTCGTATCTTTATATCTACGACTTTTCCAGGCATGCTATCATCTATCCAGAGCAAAAGATAAACCAAATGATCCATTGGACATAGATGTAGCTCTAACATTCTCTAAAATCTGACTTCACCTTCATAGTCAAGGAATATAACTCCTAACTTAGGTTTAAAATGCACATAATTGGGTGTATAGGGACCCTTATCTGGCAAGTCAAGATTCAGCATAGAAATGTTTGTACTCTTATGACCCTTCAGGACTCCATCTAAGGAGAACCTTGTTCCATGTTCATTTCTTAGGAATGGTCCATCATTAGGATCAAAGAGCTTGAGTTTCTTCTTCCCACCTTTCTTCAGAGTTGGCCGGTCAGGGACTTTGACATACCTGGACATCCTTTTGATAAGCTCGCTGATGGTGTCCTCGATAAGTGTCTTGTGTCTCGACTTGGATTGCTGAATGGCTTGTCTGATCTCCATCCATTCGTTGTATCCATAGCGGCCAAGGTAGGAAGGGTACTCGGTAACGGCATCAAGATTGTCCTTGGTGATGATCATTGAGACTAGTGTTCCACCGTCTTTAGAATGTCCGCTGATGCTGACATTGATAATCGGGCAGGGACTGAGTCTCTTTTTTAGTTTTGCTTTGCTCCATTGCTTGTCCTTATCCATCAGCTTCAGGTTCTTCTTGCGTTCAGCTTCTTCAATCAAAAGAAGTTTAGCCTGGGCTTGGACAACATTCACCGTTTTTTTTGACTTTTTCTTGGGAAGGACTTTTTCAGCTAGTGACTTGGCCAACTTCAAGCTGTCTTCAGTCTGTTTATTTTGATGCTCTAGCTCTTCTTCAGCTCTTAATGCCTCGAGTCTTTCAGCTTCAGATAAGAAGTCAAACTCACCACCACTAGAGGTAAGAAGAAGGATTTTTACTCTAGTCTGGTCGAGTGACTCTTTCAGTTGAGACATCTGCTGGTCGGTAGGAGCACGAGAAGTGGGTTGATCAGGTACCCGCTCCAGTCGACCGCAGGTTGTTGATGGAATATGAAGTTGATAGGTTGAAGTAATCACTACCTGAGAGGTAAAGTCTTCAAACAAAGGTTGTCGAGGGATATTGAACAATACCTTCAAGTTCCCTTCTTCAGCGACCGCCTTGCCTTTCGACTTGGGGTCCTGGTTCCCTGATGGAGTCGATTCACCTTGCCTTTGCTCTCCCTGGGATGCGAAATCCTCGAAAGTAACATCTTTGGTGACGGTTGATGGCTTCTGGAACTTGATGGTAAAGTCATCTTCATCATCWTCGTCGTCGTCGCCATCTAGATCATTTCCGGTGTCTGGAATGGTAGGTTCATCATCGTCTTCATCATCATCTTCATCTTCATCTTCATCATCATCATCATCATCATCACCAGCAGCAGTGATGGTATGGGAATCATCCCTAGGGATGGCATCGACATCCTCAGCTAGAGCAACTTCGATGGTCGGGATTACAGGAGCAGCAACTGCTTCAGCTCTAGGAGCCTCAGCTTCTACTACAACTGTAGCTGATACTGGACCAACGGCCTGAGAAGGGGTAGGCACATCATCGGATGATTCACCAGCGTTGGACCTCATCTCCCTCTCTCTGGCTAAGACTTGAGAGAATTTGCCAGAGAGTTCGTCCAAGCGCTACGCTGGAGAACCATTGAATCCTCCAGCCTTTGCAAAGCATTGGCTAGAGTTGTCGTTGCCTCACGCGTCTCATGGAGCTGGGCGCGATCATCGGCAGAGAAAGAGGGTGCGATCACTGGAGCTGGTTGACGGACAGCATCCAGGATCTGTTGAAGAAGACCAGTCTGCTAATCAGCTATAGCTTGAGCATCGTCAGCCCTGCAGTGAAGAACAACAATGGCATCGTTGTTGGCTTGAACAGCTTCTTGGAGAGTCTGGAGATGACTCTGAACTTCTTGAACATCCGCCTGGAGGGCAAGGAAGTTCGCCTCAAGATCACCTTGACGGGGCATCTCTTGGTGAACTTCGTTGATCCTGCAGAGGACGGTATCAACGGCTGGAAGGAGAAGTTTGATGTCTGACGCCATATCATAGTCATCATCGACATCTTTATCTCCTCCATCATCTTTCTCTCTTTCTTCCTCT